TATATATACATATATAGGTGATGTGAATCAGAAAGCTAATGATACAACCTAATTTATGACTCATAAGTCACAGTGTCATTGGCGCAGAAGCAGTAGACATTCCTTGAGGTCTAGACTTGCAAATTACAGATCATGAATGAGTTTGTGGACTCCACCAAGTCTGATTTGAGGATAGATATCCACCAACGCATTCCTCCTTTACCTCACTTACTAAGCCAGTAATATAAGACTGGTAAAGAAGGAAGGTTGGAGATGAAGCTATCAACCCATCCCGTAAAAATGAACACCACTGCCACTTGAAGCCGCCATGTGTTACACTGGGAAGGTAAAGGAATAAATTGATAAACTAGTCACCTCCTCCTAGATTACATCTTACATTACGTAATAAATTTTCTAGAACAAATTTACCAGTATCCGACTGGTCATATGGATTCTCTTTGTACATATATATGTATATATATTCTTTTTCTAATTGCTAGGGCATCCACAAACTCTAGGATACACCCCAAACACGTTTTATAGATAGGTTAATGTATTTGCGCAACACCTTTCGAACAATCTGATCCAGCACACACGAACTTGTCATAGGAATATATATGATGAAATTAATAAAGAGGTAAGAGGTGAGAAAATAGACAAGTTAGGTCAAGTTAAAGACATTCAAGGTCATAAAAGGAATGAAGGTCACTAAATCAAATATCAAAGGTATTAGTACACCTGTTATGATATCAAAACAAAGTTTACTAACTTAATCATCGTTCGTCAGTCTGGGGTTATTTTTGGTCAGATGGTAAAGATAACAAAACCAAGTGTAGATTGTTGGATTTGATAAGTGTGTAACATTATAAAAGTAATGTACGTTTACATAGTGAACTTGCATATCACATTCGTGTTGATTTTGTCACTTCATGGGGGAGGGAGGTGTTGTAACCAGGTTAGATTCTGTTTTAGTCCATCATTCCTATTCAGTTCAAACAATTTGGATTCCAATTGATTTGAAAGCATATTCCGAAAACATGGACCTCAACAGTCGTCACTTTATACATAGCAGAGACGTCAAACGATTTCAAAAGAGTACTGAATCAGCTCGACATTAGAGTTTTCTTCAAAACATCAGACACACTGCGAAACAACCTTGTGCATATAAAAGACCAAATCCATAAAGATTCTCTATCTAATTCCGTCTATAAAATAAAATGCTTGCTTGGAATGTGATGCAATATACATCGGACAAACATCGCCAGAGAGAAATCAAAATTAGAAGAAATGAACACCATAGAACTGCCTCTACTCGACCGCCGAGAAATCCAGGTGAACTAGAAAAGCCTGAAAAATCATCAGCCATAGCTCGTCTACACGCTACAGAATCAGGCTAGAAAATTGACTTTGACAACATTGAAATCATCATTCAGAAAAAGCATTTCAGAAATCACAAAGAACGTCTTACATCATCAGAAGCACTTCATATCAAGTGGAATCCAAATTGTCTGGTGAATAAGAATGATGGACTGAAACAGAATGCAACCTGGTTACAACACTCCACCTCCACCATGAAGTGACATATATATACGATAGTACAGCTTATGTGAAAATAAACTGTCGAGAAGAAAATAATTCTCCTCGTTGTTTACGCTTGTTTTCTTACAATAGAATAAGGGAGAATATTCCGTTCTCAGTGATGTGCACCAGAATGTTTAATTAGCACTAATGTTACATTATTATGCACAGTCGCAATCACATGGCTAATAAATTAATTGTGCAATAAACATTTTCCATTCAAAGGTATATCTGCAATATAAACTATTAGAAGAATTATGTAAACAAACGATAACAGCCGGAATCGCATTTTATATTGTAAATGAACAGATTCTATTTATATAAAGTACTTAGACTAGCTGACCACCTCAAATTGTATCTACCCATTCAATTGCGCTTGTGCTGGAGCGAGTTATATCGGCCGTTGCTCTAGGAACTTGATTTTTCGTGCCAGCTTGAGAACATCTCCCACTATGGCTAAGTAAAGGTGTAGTGAAAATCATTAACAGTTCGATACGATACTTGACCATCTGGTACAGCATTGAAGAATCCTTATCTATAATCTACCAGGTGTCTAATAAATTGCCAAAATCATAGAAGTACTGCATACTCCAAACAGCAGAGGCTATTGCAATTCGACCCAAAAAACAACCAGTGCTCTGTGTTCAAAAGAGGCAAGTCCAGCCCCTACTACTGCCCTGGCTGACCTTCAGTAGAGACTATAAATTCATGAGTTTGTAATATTATCTTTCCTAATGTTTTTTCTGACATTCAGCTCATTTTATGTTGATGCGATTCAGCTGTAATCTATCAATATTATTGATTTGATGTTATTTAGACAGCATTAACGTTGTTCATAACATTAATTCATTCATTTACTACTATTATGTATATATAACTGTACAGCCTGATGATGAAGGGGTTATCGGAAAGAGTATTCTTTGTTCAGTATTCTTTCTGTTGAATATATATATATATATATATACACTTTGATTCGGCACGAGTAACTAGTGTAATGTGTCTGCTTCTGTCTTTGGTGTAGACTGGCCACGTTGCAAACCTGACTGATAGAATTCAGTCTGCACCGAAGATAGGACTAGACACACGCATTACACTAGTTACTGACAAGTGTCCAATCAAAAATATCCAATACAGTCCTACATGAGTTCCTTCAAGATGGTCGCAGATACGCCTTTCTGACTGACTAGTGAGTGCCAACTAACTAGCACGAAACCTAGGTCAGTCAAGGCATCCTGTCGAATGCCATCATATATATATATATATATATATATATATATATATATTTAACACCGCATTTAAGCGATCAAGACTGTGCTTTCAATTAGATCTCATCAAGCTTTACTCTTGAATATACCTACACAACCTTAAAAATATAACTTCAAATATAAATCAACCAATCACGGTGTCTTGTCAATAGAATAGTGAGATTGTGCATATAAATTGTGCAATTAGTCATAATAATAATTATAATAATAATAATAATAATAATAATGGTGGTTAGGCAGTGGAGAAAACGAAAGCTTTCAAGGTAATTCATCGGCATCCCATTGAATATTTCCAATAAACTTCGTATTCATCTACTGCACACAGTTGACGCAGGCGATAGGCATTCGAATAACTATTAAGCCTAAACTATGCTCATTCAAAAGAAGTTTGTGTACAGCCATTGTCTCTCCCTTGATGGCTTACTAATACCTAACCAAGTGATGACTTCTCCACCACGCCTTTCCTTACTTATATTTTCAACCCCTCTCTTATCACCCTTTAATTTTATCACAGAGTCATCGAAACACAGTTTATATTTACTTCCCTTACAATCTAGCATTACGTGATCGGTGCATTTGGTTTTTCTTAGCCTTTATCGACACTACTACGTCTACCTGAGAATTTTTGTTTGTTTAATCATACTGGTTTTCGTTATTTTTGTCATCACAGATCACCTCACTTTTTCATCCTTGTTATTTCTATGAAGCCTGTTGCGAACAAGGAGAATATGGTTGGTGGCATTGGATGCATTTTCATGTCACGGCTCTTCTCCAAGTTTAGTCAATGATGATGATGTTAGGTCTAACTCCAGGACAGTAATAAATGAGTTGAGATCAAAAAAATAGTCGAGAAGTTTCATCAGCTTCAAGTTAAACAAGAGACAGAAATGCAATCCTTTCAAAGAGAGTTGAGCCTACTTAACTGGTGGATGGTGACTAGCAGTGGAATCCTCCAGGATGCACATTTCATCCTATTTGAGACTTATCAGCTGGATGTACCTGCATTTCCCAGTGAGTGATGATGTTCCCACCGAGGCTCGAACCCAGTGCAGTGCTGACGAGTCCCAAACCAGACGAAATGTGCGTCCTCAATTCCATTGCTAGTTACCATCCACCAGTTGAATTCTAATTCATTGCCCATTGACATCGTCGAAGCATCTACACAAGGAGCCGACATGTCGACCTGAGACCGAGCACTTCGGTCCAATCATTCGACGGGAAAATCTCAAATTCAATTAAAATAGAGTTGACCCTGTTAAACTTGCTCGATGATGATGAAGGATTGTATGATCCTGTAACACAGACAACGCCATTTTTGATGTCTGTCTCCTTTCAACTGACAAATAAAAGCCTCTAAGGAAGTGAAGATCGTCTCCGTATCCAGTTCATATTAAGTTAAAGAATGAAGGAATGAAGCTTCGAAAGCCCGACCGCCATCTCAAAAAATATCAAATGAATTCATAGATATCACTGATAAATATCGTATGAACGACTGGCTAACTGACTGACTGACTGGCACCTCTCTCCTGAAGCAAATCCAATCATCACGCAAACACACACACACACAAAACAAAAATGCGTACTGATGAAGAGTCCCAAACTAGGACGAAACAACTGTCCAGTACTCCCAGGTTTTCCAGTGGTTCTCTAACTACTGTCAGCTCATGGTGAAATCATCCATGCAATCAAAACAAAATCCCTACAAAAACCAATACTTGAAAATTCATCTGATGCTCACTAGCGACTGGCCCTATTCAGGCAGTTAACCTGGGGTTCTAGTAGGAAGCCGTAACCAGTAGAGTACAGCAGGTTGAAGATGAGGCAGTAACTTATCGAAAAAGACATTGTGAAATCGTCGCGCTATGTCGTGCGTGAATTGACAGAAGTTAGAATTCATGGGCCGTTGGATCGGGTCCCAGTGGCTTAATGGTCTACGAGCTCGCTAGCCTTGTAACCAGAGGATCCTGGGTTCGACCCCTGGCGGTGGGTGCGTACTGGTGAAGAGTCCCAAACTAGGATAACAGAAACGGCTGTCCAGTACTCCCAGCTGGTTTTCCAGTGGTTTTCTAACTGATGTCAGCTCATGATGAAATCCTCCACTCAATCAAACAAAACCCCTACAAAACCAATACTTGAAAATGCATTTAACAAAAAAAAAGGAAACTGATCGAAAATTACCGGGAGTAATCGAAACGAATCACTGATTCCACGATTGCATAAATAATTGTCTAAATAATTCCAATTGAGGATTACTGTTGAATCATTTGTGAAATTTGTATTCAACGAGACATAGGATTTAGCATCTGGTACTTGTAAAGCATATGAGTACGCGATTTTGATAATTTTATCGATTTGCCTGCATGTACAAACACACAGAGAGAAAAAAAGAATTAAACAGTCGGTAAACACACACGAATTAATAAAAGACAGTTGTATGTAGACTTCGTTTACGATAACTAGCAGGGAGCATTGAACAGCTGCCTCAGCTTAGTGTGGGCTCTTCAGCAGTATACACCCACGACTCCATCAGGTATCGACCAAACCACAGATTTTCAGGTTACAAGACCAAGCTAGTTAACCATTCACCCATGTTAAATGGCATAATAAGGTGCGTATTATTGAGGTTGGATAAGGAGAGGGAATTAATCGATTGAGATGGCTAGGATATGTGTTGCGCATTCCTGGGAACAGGTTGAAAAGGAGCTTATAGTAGTCAGAGCACAACTTGACACTAATAGTTAGTTTAAAGCAGTTACATAGGGAGAGGTTTAGACTGGCTGTTTGTGGTCCTTGGGATTCTAAGAACCAATGGCTCCATACAATTGGTGATTCTTTCTTACTGGAGTAGACATATTCTCTCTTTGTGATCTAACCCAGATACATTCAACCCTACTGTTTTTCCATGTTCTTGTTCTTTCTTTCTTTCTCTCTCACATTTGTACTTGTTAATGCTCTTTCGAATCTCTTTTTACCTGTGTCTCTTTTGTCTCCCTGAGTGTGGTACATGGAGGGTAGCAACTGGAGCTGGTGTACTTCCGTGCAAAGTTCTACATGAAAACTAGTCAATCAGTTAGTCAGTCAGAGAACTGCTAAAAACCACAAAACAGTGGACAGCTATTTCGTCAATATCTTGTGACTCTTCAGCAGTGCTCTTGGAGATGTGTAGGTGGTTGTTACTTCCCGACTGCCGACAGCGTAGAAGTCGACTGGTTCTTCAGGTGCCTGAAACAGAAAGAGAGTTAGTGGTGCGTTACCACAAAGCCCATGGGACAACTGTTTGAGGCTGGTTACATACTGTCCGTCTGAACTGGTTTTTTGGCTTGGCAGCGTATTTGTAACTTACCGCCGGTTACCGACCACCTTAGGGTAAGCCGGAATGTAGTTTTTGAGGAAGACCTTTTCTAACCCCCTCTCCTCATAGCTGGCATGCCGGTCATCTGGGGGAAACACCTCACTGCTGTCACATCCCTATTCCTTAGCAGTACGACTTTGTTCAAGGATCCCCAGCGTAGTGTAAAAAGAATCTTACATTGTGCCGGTAACTACTTTTAGTCCTAACAATTTTTCCGGCATAGTAGGACCTGCAGCAACACTGGTGTCAGCCAGCGTAGATTGTTGGGTCATTGCGATATGCAAGCTCAACCACCACGTCAAGGTAGGAGGTATCGGTCGTGGCTTTGGCAGTACGCGCCTATCACCTCACCGAGGACCAAACCCCATTATTATTATTATTATTCCCTTGGATTCCCAGTGGAACACAGGGCTTCAGTAACACATCTCCACCTTGTTCTATTTTCTTCCGTCCTCTCCAGCTGGCTAGCCCCACGATTGACCATAATCTCTCATGTCCTCCTCGCTATACGATCTCCTCCATGTCACCCTAGGACAGACGACCCACTCATCGCTTCCCATTCTGATTCCACTCGAGCTATAACCTGCAGTGAGTGCGATGTCATTCGACGGCCTCTTCAGAGTATGCCCGATCCATCCACTTATTTGTTGAGCGATCGCCCCTTAGCTGATTTGCTGCACTGCAGAGTTTCTTGTTACTTATTCTTTCTGGCCACCTGATCTTCAATATGCAGCCAGTGAAGGCAGCTGTTGATAAACGTCTGCGATGGCTGTTAGAAATCCTTTTCATGATGCCGCGTACCTACCTAACTTTGCAACAACCTATAACAACAACTAACCAATTCACTGTTATTTATAAAATAATTAATTAAAATAAATGATCCAGGAAAGATCAAGAAATACACATACACACATACATTTCAGTTTTATGGACAATATTTACAAAAAACAACAAGTATCAGTGCCATTATTATTTTTATTATGGCTGCTGAAGTAAAAGTGTTTGTTTTGGTGGATGGTGACTAGTAGTGGAATCCACCGGGATGCGCGTTTCGTCCTAATCGGGACTCGTCAGTTGGATGTACCTGCATTTCTCGGTGAGTGATGATGTTCCCACCGAGGCTCTAACCCAGCGCCCATAGTTTCAAACACCAAAGTATTATCCACTAGACCACTTGGGTCATGAGAGCCACCTCTTATGCAACGGGTCTTATCAATTTCAATTGAATTTCAGATTTTCCAGCCGATTGATTGGACCGAAGTGCTCGGTCTCAGGTTGACATGTCGGCTTCTTGTGCAGATGTTTCGACGATCGATGTCTGGGCATTTAATTAGAAGTAAATTGGTGTTTGGAACTATGGGCACTGGGTTCGAGCCTCGGTGGTGGGAACATCATCACTCACTCACTGGAAAATGCAGGTACATCCAGATGACGAATCCCAATTAGGACGAAACGCGCCTCCTGTTGAATTCCACTGCTAGTCACCATCCACAAATTTAATCCTAACTAAATGCCCAAACATCGATCGTCGAAGCATCTGCACAAGAAGCCGACATGTCAACCTGAGACCGAACACTTCGGTCCAATAAATCAATCGACGGGAAAATCTAAAATTCAATTAAGAGTGTTTATATTCCCCAAAATCTCGATTTAATTTACGCCATGGACAAAAAACAACCTCATTGGACGAACTTGTTTAACCTTGGGTCAGATTGCTGACCAATCAGAATAATCTATTCTCCCCTGATGTAGATTAACTTTATTATGACAGCTTTTTTGCTTAATAAAGATCCGTTACACTTTTATTACTATTGTTATTATTATTATCATTAATAACACTATAAATCATAAGAACAACAAGAGATATAAGAGAATATGGGAAAACTGACAAAAAGCAGCATTATACTATGAAGGTTATCATCGACAACTAACCGATAACTTGTCACAGCGATTGAATCTTCATCTAACGAGATTAAATGGAACAGATGACCAATGCTTAATTTACACGCTGTCTACAATGAGAAATACAAAGAGTGGAAGGGAAAAAGAAGGACGGAATGAGAGAAAACGATGACAAGTAAGACAGGCACATACAAAAACACTCATAAAAAGGTAAACTCCATCAAAAATAGATAAAACAAGAATAAGTGAAGTAGCAAGAAATTTCATTTGTTTGAATTTTGATCACGGATTGATATCAGTTTGAGGACTACTGGAGACTACGGTGTACTGGACAATTGTTTCGTCCTAATTTAGGACTCGTCAGCATCAGTGCGCACCCATAAGTTTGGCAGGAATTCAATCGTCCGTGAAATTCTAACTCATATCAAATTTGTGATTTCACCGCGACTGGTACCAGCCAATGTTATTAGAGGCGAGGATATGTCCCCATTTCAGATCACACAGTTCCCGTTGGTCGCGGCTCCTCATTAGAACCGCAAACAACTTGCCAGTCATTTTGTTAGTCATCAGTGAGCATCAGATTAATTCCCAACAGCTAGATTCTAGGGACTTGATTTTTTTTCTGTTTTGATCACGAATTGATATCAGTTAGAGAACCACTGGAACCTCAACTAGATTATTGCTCGCTAGTTTTCTATCCGACGCCAAGCCCGGAAAGAGAGGGAGGGTTGGGGCGTGGTGCTAGCAAATTCATGCCCAAAACTTCACCAAAATGCTACAGAAAATTCAACGCATAAATATATTTTAAAATAATACTAAAAATATAAACAAAAACCTTATTTTTCGCTGGAATCGGGGAAGTAAAATGACGCAGGCTGATGAAAGCCTTCAGGAAGCCAGTCAGCCGATGTATCTTCTTTCGATGAAAGCAAAAGTAAGGATGGGTACCTGGAATGTTCGCACAATGCACGAAGCCAGTTGGAAAGGCTGCCCGGATAGCCGCTGAAATGAGAAGATATCGAATAGAAGCGTTGGGAATCTGTGAGAGCAGATGGATGTCGAGGGCGCCAACTACCAACTGGAGAGACAATAATCTATTCCGGTGACCCAGAAGACAACTACGAGCACATCGAGGGAGTGGCCATCATGATGTCACCAACAGTAGCCAAAGCTCTCATGCAGTGAGAACCAATCTCCTACAGGATAATGACAGCAAGATTCAACTCAAAAGGAAGGAAGGTTACAATCATTCAATGCTATGCGCCTACAAACGTCCCAGAACAAGAGAAGAACGAGGCCTTCTACAGACAACTACAAACAATAATGGACAACGTCCCAAATGGCGATATCAGAATCATGATGGGTGATATGAATACGAAACTGGGAGGAGACAACATAGGAAGAGCACTCACCATGTGTCGTGAGGCCCTTGGTGAAATGAACGACAATGGTGAACTCTTCTCAGACAAAAAAAATTAGGATTTTCAATACAAACACGTCAAGTCATTTCTTCTATACGGATCAGAAACTTGGCGGGTCACAAAGTATATAAATCCAACAGCCTGTTGCAGACCTTTAATCAACAACTGTCTTAGCTCTGTACTGAAGATCAGATGGCCGGAAAAAATCACCAACAAGAAACTATGGGAACAAAAAAACAAAACAAGAACCAATCGCCAATCAACAAATATGCAGGAGGAAGTGGAGATGGATTGGACTTTCGTGGCTGGGAGGCCGCTGGGTGACATCGCGCGCGCGTCAGGCCACCGCTCGAGTGGAACCCAAAAGGGAAGCGGCGAGCGGGACATCCGAGAGTGACATGGAGTAGATCATGTGAAGAGGAGTTGAAAGAGTATGGACTAACATGGATGCAGGTCAAAAGTACAGCAGAAGGAAGACAGAAGCAAGTGGAGACGTGCAGTTGAAGCCCTATGTTCCACTAGGAACCAAAGGGAATAATAATAATATAGAGAACCATTGGAATCCTGGGAGTCAGCTAGCTGTCCAATATTCCCAAGTTATCAATGGTTCTCTAACTGATATCAACACGTGATCAAAACTGAAACAAATTAAATCCTCACGAACTAACTCTTGAAAAGTATATTTCATCTTTACACCGGAAAAAAATGTAGAAAAGAATAAATCGATTTTATCGATGAACAGATTGAGAGAGATACCACTCTCTGCAGTAACAACATAAATCAAACAAAAATAACCACGATGAAAAGTTCGTCTATACGCCAAAAAAAAACAACCTTGAATTGATCAATGCTTAAATTATCACAGCTTTTGATCAACTGTCTACAAACGAAGCCTAGTAAAGATGCTCTTTAGTAGAACTAGGGCGGTATAATATGCAGAAGATCTTATCAAGAATAGATATCTCCGTAAGTTCATATCAAAACCAGAAATAGTTGGGGAAAAACCGTTTTTTTATCTGTCTACTGTACAAATGGCAAGAAGTGTCGACAAGAACTGAAAACAAAGAATTAAGGGTTCATTGAAGAGAACATTTTCCACCGCCAAACTTATTGCACCTCAAAACACGGCAGTATACTCAGTAACTCATTCAAAAGTAAAGATACGTATCCTGCTCACATGTCAACTCCTCAAACTTCATTTATCAATTCACCTGCACTTGAGGCACTTGAGGCACATAGTACCAAATTAGAGAAGACAGTGTCTACTAGATTTTATGAGTATATCCCTAAAAGTCTCCGTATGAAAGGCAGCAAAGTGTTCTCATTTGGAATTCCCCTTGCTATCAAAAGATTTCGACCCAACCCCTGTATACAAAAAGATAGTGTGACTAATCTCTCACTACCCTGGCAACCGCAGGTGTTTTGTTCTTTTGCGTAACATTCCACTTAATTTTGATTTTCACTATCACTGAGTTGAACTAAACATTGAGTTTCTGAATACACTTAATTGAGTGATAATTTTACTTCACTATTTTATTCCCATCCTCGTGAACTCTCCATCATACTATGTGTAACTTCACTCTGTTGTCTAATTTTGTATCTTTTTTTTTCTCTAGGTAAACCTTGTTTCCAAGAGAAATATGAACTGAACTGTGAGAAAAAAAAACTGTTTGTTTAAAATAATTTTATAACTTATAATTTGATGATTTTCTTTAGGATGTTGATATGGTGGTCGATATCCAAGTCCGGAAATAAACCAATCAGAATTTGGCCCAAATAACTGATCGATACCTAGTCTGAAAATAAACCAATCAGAATTGGCCTACGTAAAATTACACCCACTATTTTTATTAATCATGACGGCAGACAAATTGACAAATCCTAAGTGATAATTTGAATCATACATGAATGCGTGAAATATGCTGTCTATGTGTGCTGGGGAAACAGATAGCTGATGGCGTGGTCAAGTGATACTCATGATCAGTGCATTTGTGTCCAGCATCGACGTTCCTGCGTCAGTTTCAACATATTGCAAAAGATAACATATGTACGCGCAGTTGAAAAAAGAGAATCCAAACTGCAAATATATATCCACTCTTTTTCTTCATTTAAAACTAATCAAAAGGAACCAACCGATTGTGTATGGAAAACAAGCTCACACACACACACACAAAGATCAACAACAATGGAAAACAAGTAAACAATAAGAGACACAAAGAGAAAGAGAGAGAGAGAGCGGGAAACTGCGTTTCACACTTATTTACCGCTTCTTAAACTCACTCACAATATGGATAGAAAAAAAAATACAAACAAATAAATAAATAGATAACCATAAATGTAGCGCAAAGTGAATGAACCATAATGGAAATAATTCAATTTATCCTGAGAATGATAACAAGTTGAGAAGGTATCTGCTCTTCCCCTCTCTTTCTCCGCATATATATATATATATATATATATATATATATATATATATATACAGAAGGTAAAAACGATGTAGTTATTATCAACATCATCAGAAGTAGTCAGAGTTAGAGCTAGCTCAAAATAATAATAATACTAATAATGATAAAAGAGTTTGTTGAGAACAAGTAAAATGTTTGTTAGAATGATTGATGATGTATGGAAAAAACAAACAGCAGTATGCAAATATCAAAAAGCGATACTTTCAAAATACCCTTTGATTCCTTTCTTTATGTATTTTTTTTCGCATCATCTGGTAATTGATTTGATTACCAGTTCTTATTACTTCTTTGTAATCCTAACACACACACACACACAGTCACTATTTATTTTCTATATATATATATATATATATATATATATATATATATATACCAATCACTATCAAGGGGAGCAATTTGAAAGAGGTAACATCACAGTGTTATATACGCCTCAATCGGACAAAAACTAGCAAAAGAAACCATGGAGCAATTACTTAGCAACGACGAACACCATCCAAAACAATCAAAAATGCAACACACAAGCTGGAATGGAATGCATAAACCTATGCCTAACAGCGTACTTCCAATGCAATAGCCAAATATATGAACAAGTCAAAGGAACACACACACCCATGAGATCGCTAATATCAGGTCGGATTGTAGAAGCAGTGATGGAAAAAAAGGCTCGAAAACATAATTCTACCAAAGATCAAACCCGAAATTTGGATACGCTACGTAGATGACACATTTGTAATAATCAAAAGAAACGAATTGGATAAAAATCACAACTTAATAAACAACGTCTTCAACGACATCAAATTCACAAGAGAAGAGGAATCCGATGACAAAATACCATTTTTTGGACGTCTTGGTCAAGCGAATAACCACAGGAGAATTACAAAACTCTAGTTTATAGAAAATTAAATCACACAGATCAAATACTGAATTTTAACAGCAACAATCCAATAACACATAATAGGGGAATTGTAGACAAACATTATTCAAGAGAGCCAACCAGGACATATTGAAGCACTCACACCTTAAGGAAAATTGAAGTAAAGATATTTCATGGACGTCTTCCAAAAGAATGGATTTCCACGGAACTTCATCAAAAGACATATACCCCCAAGCCAACCTATCAAACCAAAAGCCCTGAAGGAAAGCATAAAGAAAATCGCCTTACTATGTATAAAGGATGTCTGAGAAATCACTACACGACTCTTCAAACCACTAGGAATTGACGCC